GGGTACATTGACCTAGTCCAATGCATACTGGCTGCTACTCCTTTGCAAATAAGGCTCCTTTCAGATGTGTTGCTGTTTGTGCACCTGAAACTTCTGCTTATCTGTGCAAAAGTAAGCCACTCTGTTTAAATGAATGACAGAAAACAAAATTAATTGGATGTTCTGTACAGAACACTGTGGGGTTTTTTTAGTGTTATCGAGTTTACGTCATATCAGTAATTTGAAATTACTGGTGAACCAATAGCACTTATTTTAGGAAGAAAGAGCCCTACACCATTCTGTGATAATTTTTGATATTATTATTTGGTTTACTGTACAGGCAGATATACTTTCTTTAACTGTTTCCTTCCTTGAGTTCAGTGTTAGGTTGAAGTATTTCATACCTGCTTTGCATGACCATAAATGACCCATCACACATGTGACACGTGATAAAACAACCAAAAGCCAAGCTCATACTTACCATTTTATAAACTCTTAAGAAATCATTGTGGCCTCCTCTGCTTATTTGTTGTGTTTCTGCAGTTAAAAATCTTACTTATTATAACTAAAAGATAGCTTTCATAAGCTAATTTAAAGCTGAAGTGTGGCTTGTCTTCTGTGTGTCACACAGAGGAATGTGCTATCTCTTAAAAATTAATTTATCTTGCTTCTTGGAATTGCTTTGCAGCTATGCTGCAGAGATAACATAACAGTGTCAAACACACTTCTATCTCCAAAAGAAAACAAGGAAACAGCTGGGAGTGATTCCCAAAACCGTCATTCATTGTGCAATGTTCAGAAAGTCACAAGTAGAGATGCTAAAACATCTCTCGCATCCAGGATTGCCCTACATATGTAGGACAATTGACTTCCTTACAATAGCAATTGGAAAACTGGAGCTTCTGCAGTTGTGTGCTTATTTGTAACCACTTAGCGTAATACCACAACCTCAGAACAAGCCCAATAGCAAACAAATACAGCAAAAATGTGGATTTATGATGTGTATTACCAGTTTTTGTCTTTTTTCACACAGAAAATCCCCCCTTTTCCTCCATCTCTATATTCTCCTCAAGCCAAGCTGATTACCAAACAGCCTGTGCTAATATCTTGGAACACACACATACTCTCTCTCTCCCCCCAGGTGATAAGATCTTGGTTGGAGAGATTGACTGTTGATTAATTAATGCTCTGGAGGTCTCATCCTTAAAGGACAGATGTTGATATTTTGCACATTTTTTGAGTGGATTCTGGTGTTTTATAAAAGCAGCTGACAATTTAAAAATCTGAGATTCAGTAATATAAAATATTATGAAAAATCCACATACTGCAGTTTTACCAGAAGTGAAAACTTCCTTTTACTCTAGAGAATACAGAGACTTCTAACAGATCAAATAATAGAAAAAAGAAAAGTGCTTTACTGGCATTTTTAGGTCATGTTTCAATACATACTGAAATATTCTCTTTTATTCCAGAGTTGTTCCAGATTGAATTATTTTCATATTTCTTCCAGCAAATTTTTTAACAGAGTTTTGAACTCTCATTAGAGTGATGATTTATTTTCTCCTTTTGGTTGTGTAAAGCCGCTGAAGCTGTGTGGCTATATTGGGAGCTAACTGGGTGACAGATGTACAGAGGTATAATTAATACAAACCAAATGCACATCTAGTGTAAGAATTATATTTACACTTAATCTAATATGTATTCATAGCAAGAGTGAGGGGATGACTTCTTACTCTTTCAACTTCAGAGTTTAGAGTAATAAAATTCACTATGCAGGAAAAAGACAAAAGTGAATATAGAACTCAGTAACATAAATGAAGGAGAATCTGCTTTCTTTTCTGCACGTAAAATGTTGGGATATTTTTTCAAAAAAAAAGAAGACCAGTATTACAAGTGCTGCTGTGTGTGGCTGTAGCAGCTTTCCAAGTGAGTCATCAGCTGTGTTTGGATCCAGTCTTTCAGTTCCACTGCACAGACACCTGTGACTTGAAGAAAAGGATTTCCCACATTAGCTGGCAGAAGCAGTAGGTTTTTATAGTCTAAGGATCGTCTACTTGAGAAAAAAAACTAACAGTGAGTTGCAACTTTAGAAATTGCTTCACAGCTACCTTTGACAGACCCTTTCCTGAGGCGTTGTGGCTGCTTGGTCAGAGGGAGAAAGGGACGGATTGGTGTCACCTCTCACTCTGCAGAAGGGGCAACCTATGGCTCCCAATAGCTCCTCAGTAATAAATGCTGCAAAGTGCACGGTGTCACCACAGGGAGCTGAAAGACCTCAAACAATACAGGATCCCCTGAATCAGGTCCAGTATCAAATGCTACCTGGACATGAAATATGGATTAAAAGGATCATTCCCCTATCTATAGAAATTATGTATCTGGATGTCATTGGATGTGTCATTAGATGCCTACTTGCATTTTCCAACATCTTTTAATTTAATGAAATCATTATTTCAACATCTGTTTTGTCTGTGAAGAGAATCTGAAATAAAGATAAACCAAGTCTAACCATTACAGAAGAAATTTATTACTTCTGTACAGATCCTGAAAGAGAGAAAAATTTGGTTACAAGTTTCTCATGACAACTGTTTTAAAGGATGATCTTTATTTAGTTAAGAAGTGTTATAAAACCTGTTTCAAAAAAGAAACCTATGTGGGTTCTGGCAAGCCATTTTTTTAATTTTAATTTATACTGATTTTTGTGTGAACAATTTTCTTTACTCTATGAAAACTTAAAATGGAAAAAAAGATTGATATAAGTGAAGAATTTCAGTCTTTTCCTATGAAATGTCACATGGCAAAAAAGCCCCAAGCCACTTTCTGAACAATTTTAATGAGCTTGAAACTATTCTGTTCATCTCAGTGGAGGTTTAGTAATTTCATGTTAATTTTGTTCATTTTTTTTCTCCTGTAAGAAAGGGGAGGATTTCAGATCTGCACTATTTGTTGTGATTGATATCTCATTTTGGCTGTCAGTCACCAGCAGGCTTTTGTTCCTGGTGCAGGTCAGCTGTGAGAAGGCAGAATGCCCAAGGGTACACCCTCATCCTGGGCAGAGCTCAGCTGTCATTTCCAAGCCCACAGGCGCTCCAGTGTCTCCTTAGATAGCTCTAATGAAGTCTAGTCCCACATATCCAGTAGATGGACTCTTAAAATGAATCCTAGCAGCTGATTACATTTTGTTTTGTTCACTGGTCCTAGTTGTATTCCTTGCTGATAGCCAGTGTCAATACATGTGCTCCTGCAATGGACTATGCAAACATAAAATTACAGTTAAGTAGTCAAAAGTCAGGGTGTGGAAGCAGGGCCATACCTTCACTCAAATACCATTACCCCAGAGTTTTAGCCATTTTTTCATGGTTCTTAATCATACTTGGCTCTGATTGATTAGAGCCTTAAAGGCACATTTCCCTTTGCATGGCAATCTCATTGAGCTTCCTGTAAAACAGGCTGATTGATCTCATTTAATTTATGCCTATTTCATTTGGGGACACATATAAGTCTCTGGGAGGGAAGAGTCCATCTCTGCCTATAGGGATCAGTCGTTTGGGTGCAATTAGTTTATAATAGTTCATAGCCTCAGACCAGTTCTCTACCAGAGTGCTTTTCACAGCTGGCCCTGACTTGCTTGTATGAATTCAGAGTTATACAAGTTACTAAAAATTTCCTTGCAAAATATGAGTTTTAACTGCTGGACAGAAGTAAGTGTATATATGTCATTTTCTGGTGATATTCCTCCTAAATGGTTTGAGTGGTGGCAAGAACATTTTTTCTCAACTGTAAATGCAATTGTCTTTTTAAGTACAATGCTTTTATAATCCTGGGCTAGGAACAAATTAATCAAAAAGCTAGAATTATTTTCAATTCTTATTATTACCATCAACTATGTTGATTTTTCTTTTCTTTTGAGAATCTGAAAAAATAACAAAAAGCTCACTCTTCACTTCTTAATATTTGAATGGATAGATACTTCAGATTTTAACTGTGCTATTATTGTCATGCATCACAGACTATTTTTATTCAAAGTAAAACATTACTTACGCAAGCAGAATTTTCCCACACTATCACAGCTTTAGAAGGTGATTTGATGAATTTAAAGGGACCATTTTACGCTACTAGAATAGATGAATCTGTGGTCTGACAGAATCTGGTTATTTTGATGTCCAGTTATAAACAACTGAAGTGACTAGGGGCACAACCTTAAAATACAGACTGTTTTCATACTCCAGACTGAAAAGTGTCAGATCTGTGGTATCAAAACACACTGATTTATTTGCTGCATGTTCCACTCTATGTTGTCAACATACTCCGTACTGGGGAAATTACAATGTGTACTAGTCCACATGTTCTATACAATGCCCATTTACATGAGATGCTTCAATCTTGCATCTTTAATTTCTTGCATTGCAATAGAGGTATTCCATGTAAGCTTGTTTTCAGAAAAAAATAAGCCATAAGTCATGCACTGATAAGAATTTCCCACATGGTTATAAATGAAAGTGCTGTTCTGCTTGCTTGTTACAGAATTGAATTACTTTACATGTCTGTGTCCATAGCACCAGGTTGGCCACTCAGTCAGTTAGTCACTAGTTTAAAACCTACTCAGAGGCTTACAACCCAAGGTAGTCTTGCTGTAAGTCAGTATCTCTACCGTGCAGACAATCCAAGTTGTTTGAAGAAAAAAAATTTTTTTCAACAAAAAAGTATGTTGCTGAGGTGAAACACTCAAAAGTTATACACACTATGCAGCAATTTTATTGGAAAAAATTCTTAGATGAACATCATGTGGTCTGCGTGTACTTACAAAGGGGTATGTTAATGGAAAATATATTCGCAATGCAAGCAAAATACCTGCAAATAAAATTAACGCTCAATGGGAAACATTAGGAAAATAAAAACCAGAACACATCTAAAAAATTGAAGATGTCTCTTGGTGCTGCTTCCAAATAGTGAAATAAAATTATTAAGAGAAATACAGGAAGGGTTTTTTACTGTTGTTATTATTTTTTCTTTATCAATAGGCTTCAGGAAACTGATAAACATATGAAAAATATCCAACTGTAGCCCTGAGTTACCCAAGACCTAAGACAAGCCAGGTGTGGGGGCATTAGTGACAATGAGAAATAAGGGGCAACAGGGCTGTTGTTGCTTCTTTAGAACCCCACTCAAGGGCTGGAGGTGAGTGTGAGATCATCTCCTCTGCTGCTCCTCCCCAAGAGAGTAGAAGTCATGGGGCTGAGCGGTCAAAGGAGAACCTTAATCTTTTTCTCAATGGAGGTAATTTTTCTGTGGCCTTTTTGTATAATGAATCAGTTATTTGAATTAATCAATAACATTCTGAAGTATCACTGGACTGGCAAAAATTTCTTTGATTGACTTTCCTTTTGTTTTTCTCTTGAACTGCTGTCCTTTTTTGTCTCTAGAAGGCTGTGTTGGGTTAATCCTACAGAGGGATAGAGGCCGCAACAAAGTGTTGAGGAGTATCAGTGAAAATAAATGGTGGGAATTAAACTTGTCAGTGCATTTTCCCTCTACCCAGGACTTCTGGGAGGTGAGGTCCACCTCACTCCCAGCCTGGAGTGACTTCCTGTACTCTGCTTCCATCGGTGTAAAACCAAGTACTCCTGGTTGCTTATATCTCTGCACATTTGGTGCAAGATATATCAGGTCCTGAGTATTTTAAATTCAGAACAGAATATTTTACATGTCTGCAGTGAGAGATTTTCGTTCATCCATATAATAGCTATATGCTTTTTCCATATAAAGGTAGTTTATGATTTTTACCATTTGACAGTATTGCCACTGGGCTATGCAATTCTTAAAATTTAGTCCATCCACAATTCCATAAAGCAGCAATTAGCTAAAAAGGAAAATAGTTATTTGTGTATAAAGTTATTTGTATAAAGCATAAAGAGGAAGAAAATATACCTGCCAAAATTGAGTATTGTAACTTCCAAGAAGTCGGAGGTTTAAAAGGGGTGTTCTGGTCTTGAGGTTTAAAGTCTAAAATATTGGGAAAGCATAAAAATATTATTTTGACAAAATAGTCTGCCTTTCCTATCTTCTCCCAACTATGTATTTTTACCTATTTTTTAACTGAAATCTTAATTATGAAATTCATTCCATCTAACAATAGTTTTAGCAAGTAGGTCAGTCCTTTTTCATATTTTATTGCTTTCTACCATATTCTAGGCAATTGTGTAGATATTTTAGTATGTCCAACTGGAGATAAATTATCCTAGAGGACATTCATGGTTGTTTTGGGGTATGCACTGCCAAAGCAGTATTGCTATGGAAAATCATCGTGATACCTCAAACTAGTAAGTCTCCATAGCAACTTAAAAAAATAATGACAGCTGTAGCAAGAAATTTGCTAATAGAAGCCCTTAACACATTTGTCTAGACTCAGTCATACTTCATACTCATTATAACCAGTAGACGGATTGTAAGAAAATAAAACAGAGAGAAATAAATAGGGAATATCTGCTTTTCCTGGTATTTCCCACTGACTTCAGTTAAGTTATCTGACCTTGTCTGTGGCCAATACAACCATAAAAGTGAAATGTAAGAATATTTAATAACAGATTAACTGCAAAATATTTGATTCTAATATGTACATTTATTATGTGCGATATATGCAGTGGAAATTTCTCATTAATTAGCATAAAGATAGGTGTTCTGAAAACAAACAGGAACATTCCCATACTGATAATGTTAAAATTATTGGCTGTAACAGTCTATGTTGAAAAGGTTGAATAAAAAATGCAGCACTATGAGAGATATCCTGTTCTTAAATGGCCTCGCTCAAGTTCAAATTACAGGCCACTGATATATAGAGAAGGATTCTGTACAATCAAATCACAAGAGAGATTGCTAGCTTTGGCCTGCTGGAAATGTGCTAACACACTAGAGAATAAGACAATTAACTGTGCAACTGTTGAGCTACAATATATAGCAAGAACAAAAATTTTTATGGGTTGGCATCAGTTTAAAAGAGATGTGACATAGTTTGCTGATTTTAAGGCACCCTTTGAATTTTCTGTATAAACAAAAATTGTATCTAATGGAGCACAACTCTATATAAGACCTTAAAAAATAAAGAGTTAATCACAGAACTGAAAAAATAGTTAAAACTGATTTTATCTGATTACATTTTTATTGTGAGTTCTGCCAAGAATACATGTTCTCGGGGGGGTTGAAAAGGTCAATTTAATACAGCTGAAAAAAATTTTGAGACAATTAACTGAAGAAAATGTAAACAGAAAGATGAGAAAGATAATTGTCCGTTGTTGAATAACATTTTACTAGATTCCGAAATTGCATTTTCAAAATGATGTTGTTGCAGTGATTTAAAGAAAGAACAGTACGGGTCAAAGTAAAATGAAAAGCATCTCTAAATCATACTGAAACATAGAAAAAGAAAACTGGAACAGTCATAATAACAATTGTCTTGGATTTTAAAAAGTAGATAGTGGAAGCAAAATGTTAAAGACAAAAATCTATGGTTAGCAGATCTAAAAATAAAAAGATAGAGAAAGGAGTTCCCGGTTGTACTGGGAATCCTCATAATATTGTTGTTCTGTGGCTGTATGATGATAGCAGAATTCATGAAAAGCAGAATCTCAGTCACTTGGTGTCTGCATCTGGGGAAAGCCAGATGGTAGTTATATGACATGATGATGCAGTCCTTTTAATTTTAACCAGTTACACAGCAGTTTGTTTAAGTCAGACATTTTAAAGTTTGCATGTGTACTTAACTTGCATCTGATAGTTTTAAAAGAACTGGCAAAAGACTCCCATGGGCATTTTATTTTGGTGATTACAGTGTTGAAACATGGGAATTTTCAAGTTCGGAAAAATCTAATGTGTGCCAATATTTAAAGATGATAACAGAACTAACTCAGGAAATTAAAGGCCTATCAAGTTGAGATTGCTCAAACACAATTAATGTCCATCAACATTAGCTTCACAAAAATAATTTTTGTCAGACTAATTTGATCCCATCCTCTGATGAGATTACAAGTTCTTTTCAATCAAGATAATATTGTTGATGTAATAAACTTTTTGAAAGGACATGCATTCACACCAGAAGACATTTTGTTAAGAAAACAGAGCAATAGAAAATCCACCTAACATCTATGAGTTTAATTAAAAAGAAATAGGTCCTATAACTGTAAATGAAGAACCGTCATGGTGAGAATTTGTTCCTTGTGAGATTCATCCCCCCCCACATTATCTTTCTTAATGAGACAAGAAAACATGACATTTTGTTGATGAAGTTTTCCTATACCACTGAAACTGGTAGAGGATTAAATGATAAATAAGGCTGGTGAATGAGAGAGCAATCTGAATTTCCTTTCAAAATGGAACAAGTTATTTTTTTGAAAGCCTGTGCAGTGAGAACAGTGTGAGCTACACTTGTAGGATGGAAAAGACTCCATGCTGGGAAATAGGGACCGAAAAGGATTTGATTTTATGACGGATAATCAGATACACGTGGAGCTCCCGCAGTGCACCACGGCCAAAGTGCTAAAATGATCATTGGCATATAATGAGGAGAATATGAATAAAAGCAGGGAGCTTGCATTATTCAGGCAAAGATTTACTGTGAGGGAAAAGGGAAAGTGCTACACAGACTGTAGCTCCTTGGGGAGGTCTGGCCTGGTGCTTCATGCCTCTGATAGAGGAGAAAGTGGGGCACTGCACAACTCCTCCCTTGTACCTGTGCCCTGTGCTGGGGTTCAGCAGCCAGTCACCATGCTTCATCCCTGCTGACCTTACTCTGTAGGAAAGGATTTTGGTCTTCTTCCTTGTTTTTTTTTTTTGTTTGTTTGTTTTTTTTGTTTGTTTGTTTGTTTGTTTGTTTTTTTTAAACATTCTTATTTATTTGGTTTTCTTTAAAAAGAAGGGTTTGATAGGAACTCTGGATGAGCTTAAAGGACTGCAAAATATGCTGAAAATGAGGGACTAAATTTCAAACTCTTGATTTACTAAAGAACAGAAAAATGGTACAAAGGCATTCCTAATTTCGCTGGAAAAGATTAGCAAAATCCATTGCCTGGAATTAGAGAAATTTAGGCTTAAAGTAACTTACCATAGAGAAGCAAATTGACCACAGGAAAAACCTACTGAGGCCTGCAGTGGACTTTCTCTGAACAGAAAATTTGAAACCATGATCAGTTTTCAGTCTTAGCTGCATTATCAGTCTTGATACAGAAATTCACTTAGAGGAGTCCTGTAGAAGTGTAATGAAAGAAGTCACATTAAATAATCAATAGATCCCTTCTAATATTAATATATTTTTAGTCTAAAATACAAAATGCTCATGTTGTTCTGTTGAGATGATCTGCAACAAGGTCTTAGTGATGTTCTTTAAAAATGTGCTTTGCAAATAATTTTAATTTGTAACCTAAATATCAGGCATATAAGCTGTGAAATGTTCAAATTCTTTATTATGGAATAAAAGATTGATTTTTCTGGTTGATGTAAAGAACAGAAGTTCACCTAGATTACAAAATCTGGTCTTTCATCTCCAATTAAGCATGTTCAGAATTGCTTATTTCTGTCCATGTAGGAAAGGGAAAGCATAATGCACTGCAGCTGTAGAGATTAACTCTGGAAGTCAGGAGGCTCTGTATTCCTGTGGGAATACAACTGACAGCCCAGCCTGCCTGTGGGCCACCCTTATCCCCTTGCATGGGGTCATGCAGGAGATGTGTTGGAGCTGGGCTAGGGGACGAGGGGAGGAGGTGATGGAAGGGCTGCAGTAAGGGCATAGATAGAGACTCCTGCCACTACTATGATAGAAAATATTCTTCCTTATGCTTTCAGATGGGTTTATTTGCTCAACATTTTTTGTTTGTTTGTTTGTTTTGTTCAGTTCTAGTTAAAAGTACATATTAACTCAAGCCATTTTGTTTCTCCTTTCTCATTGCACCTGCTGGCACCTGTTTCATCTTGTTATACCTGCTAGCATAATGTCACTCTTAGAGCTAATTCAGCCATCCATTCCTCTGCTACCCTGCCCTTCCTGCATGGAGTGATTCAGAGCCTGGTCTTCACATGCAGCCTTCAGCAAGAAGTTAACATAAAAAGGAAGAAAAAACCCCGCACCAATAAACCCTGCTGCTTGCATGGTTGGTCATTTGACCCATGTTACAGGCATGCTATCTGCACTATCAGTGAAATGAAAAAAACAGTGCCTTTTTGTATGTCGTTTGCTGCCAAAAAAATTCCAAGATGATCTGTACAGTTTGTGAACACCACCTCTGCTAAAA